GGACCTTAACAATTAGAATACGGTTTTGGGGGCCCATTATACCATAATTATAATGAGGAAGCCCCAAAAAATACTACCAGTACATTCATGTCTCCGCCCCAGCAAAGGCCTGAACCCTCAAACCCAAAACCTAAATTTCCTAAATCCTAAACCCTAAACCCTAAACCGTAAACCTAGATGTCCTAAATCCTGAGCGACTGCGGCCACATGCCTCGTCTGACACACAAGCGGTGCGTGGCGCTGCAGGTGGCACAGCGGCTCCTGTGAAAGAGTCCGAAACGGCAGAAAATGTACACTGTCCACATGAACTGTACCGAGAATTTCGAGAAACCATGCTGTTCGCCGCGCTCTCCTGTGGATGGCACAGAGCATTCTAAGTCTAGTAGCGTGCCATCAGATTCCCTTCTGTGCTCAGGTGTCGGTGGCCTCAGTAGCCCACAATTTAAGGTTTAGGGGCTTGGGATGGTTGAGGCACTACGGGTGGAGTGGAAACAAAGGACGTGGGGATATGTGTAGCGGCATACCACATCCAACAAGACTCCAAACAACTTTCCTTCAATTCTTGCCCAGCCTTTGTTGAGTTTGTCTGTCGACCCATCAATGAATCTCAAACCCCTAAACCCTCAACCATACTTCCTTAAAGCCTCATTAAACCCTAAGCCCTAAACTTCCGGCTAGCAGCTGGGGATAACCCTAAACCCTAAATCCTAAACCTCTAAGCCCTAAACCCTAAACCTCTAAACCCTAGACCCTAAACCTCTAAACCCTAAACCCTCAACCTCGAAACCCTAAATGCTAAACCCTAAATCCCCCACCTCACCTGTTAGGAGCTCCAGCAAAGACAGCGGCAGTTCTGGCATGCGTCCAGCTTGCGACCATTGCTCTTGACTTTGGAGTCTAGCGCTTTGAGGGTTTAGGGTTTAGGGTTTAGGGTTTAGGGTTTAGGGTTTAGGGTTTAGGGGTTTAGGGTTTAGGGTGCGGGCTCAGTTTAGGTCTTCTGGGCTTCCGGCTTGTCTTGGTAGGGTTTTGGGTCGGTTAGGATATCTGGGTGTTAGGGCTTTAAGGTTTAAGGACCAGGGCTGTAGCCCCTGGCCTCCCACCAAACTTCAAGGGTTTAGGGTTTAGGGTTTTGTATGATTAAGGCTCGCTAAGATTCATGGTCTGGGACTTCTAAGATGTCAACATCAACGCATAGCTCTCAAGGAACTGTCATCCCAGATTCCAGTCCGTAGTAGGCAGACCTCCGACCTTAGCGTTGATGCTAGGAGTTGGGATTAGGGGAACTCTTGGGGATATTGGGTGTGGGTTTAGGGTTTAGGGTTTAGTAGGAGTTAGGATTAGGGGAACCCTTGGGATATAGACCCTCTCAAGAAGGTCCCTTTTCAGAGAGCCAAAAGTAGGGTTAAGAAGGGTCCCCTCTAAGGGGTCTCCCTAAGACTACCCTAAACCCTAAACCTTGCGGTAAGAAAACATCGACGCGGCAAACATATACAGGCAATCTGCAAAATGTCGTTGTTCGGAAAGCTCAGACCACATTTCCTTCATCGCTCGTCGGTAGCAGTCGCAGCAGCAGCAGCAGTCGCAGTAGCAGTCGCAGTAGTGGTGGTCGTATAGTAGCAACAGTAGTAGTAGGTAGTAGTAGTAGTAGTAGTAGTAGTAGTAGTAGTAGTAGTAGTAGTAGTAGTGCGCTCATTTCAACTTTTCACTTTTTTTGCTTTCTGCACAACGACAAAAGCAGCAGTGGGAAAAACAGGTCAGATGAAGCCGGTTTGTCTGGAAGTTTCTCAACTACTGGCAACCTCTCCTGTCCCTGGGCTCTGTTATGTTGTTCGCGCTGGGTTGAATCTTCAGTTTTACGAATTGCACGCGGGACGTGCCACACATGTCAAGCACGAAGCTCTAAGCCCATGGCACGACAGCTAGCCAAGTCGAAGGCTTCATGGCTTCTTCGCGACACAACAAGCATGCGCAACCCCTAGCTTTTAGTTTCGCCTAACCAGACAAAGCTGAGCGCTCCAGCAGCAACATTCAAACAAGGACGACCAAACACAACAAACATGGCCGTTTTGCTAAGATTGGGACCGCAACGATGGTTCTGTTTCCAACCGGATCAGATTACATCGAGCTAAGCTCCTGTGCAGACGCACATCAATGCGATGAAAAGCCCATTTGCGTCAGCGACGTTGGAGCCACAAAAGCAGCAAGCTAACATAAGTTGGTCTTGAACAATGAAGAACTTCCGACGAGATAATGGCCCAGGTATCTTAAGCCACGTGATTTGATGCAGTGCCGTTTTTCGTGCTGGGCGAGCCAAGGAAAGCGGGTGCTCGGTTCCTGCACAGCTTGGGAAGTTCGGTCCATCACGACGGCAGCTTGCTGATCCGGCGTCTAGGAGAATTGTAGGCGTAGTTACGCCATGTTACGACCGCGGGTGGGTCGGCGTGCTAGTATCAATAAGGCCATCCGTGCTGGTGAGTACACAGACACACAATCAAATCTCAAACCATCTCAGAACATCGTCCAAAACATGAATAGTTCATAACGAGTTATTTAGAACCAGTCACACAAACACACAGGGTGTAAACCGCAGTCCTGGCCTTGCCGCGCACTCTATGTACAAGCTCTATGCACAGGGTGACTCAGCGGCTACAACACAGAAGACAAAGCTCTCTGCGCAGCGCCTGCACAAGTCTCGGGATGAGCGACCCTTTAACGTGCTAAAAGCCTCTGAGGCTCGTGGACGAAATCAAGATGCATGTAGCAGTTGATCCGACAACCGCTGAAGCTGCAAGTAAATCGGCGTTTTCATATGGGTGGTTGTCAAAATTATGGTCCCTTCTTGGGTCCTTATTATAATACGGCACCTATTATTTAGGGTACCCCAAAAGGGACCCTAATTTTGACAACTACCCATATAAACCAAGCTCCACAATAAAGCTCTGGCCTGCCAGAAGTCGAAAGCAGGCACATCGTGGTCCTCTCGAGGCACAGCGGGGCAATGCTGGCAGAATTACTCCTGACGCCTCATCTGAAGGCAGCTTCGCTAACGGCTGCTTCTCATGTCTTTGTGACAAACTCTCGGCCTCCTACGTCTTGGCCTACGGCTAGGGCGGGCCCGGGTCTCGAACGATGCTTGCGTGCCTGCACCGAGGTGTCCAGCGTCGAGGTGGAGGATGCATCCCTTGGGGAGTAATCCTCCTGCAGCTCCTGTACTCGCAACACATTCCGCTGCTGTGCATCCACAGCATGCCGATGCTCCTGGTCTTCCAAGCTTCTGTGAGCCTTGTCCTTGTCTGGGCGTCAAGCCGGTGCGGACCACGCTTCCACGAAAAGCACCAAAGATCGGAGCCCCACAAAAACGATGCCATGGGATGCTCGCAGGAAGTGCCTCTGAGTCAGCGGCCAACTCGGAGGTGAGGTTCAAAATAACCAGGTCCTGCGCAGAACTGAGGGCTTCTCTCGCTTTTCCAGTCTGCCTCGCGAATCCGAAGCCCTAAACCCTAAACCCTAAACCCTAAACCCCTTTGATGCGACGGAAAGGTTCCCCAAACCTCTCGAAGCCTAACCGAGCTGTCCTGCTTCTCTGGTCGCGACAGGGGAAAGTCCCAGGCTTTCTGCTCCCACTGGGCGGCTCTGGGGCTCTCCGAACTAGCGGTTTAGGGTTTAGGGTTTAGGGTTTAGGGTTTAGGGTTTAGGGTTTAGGGTTTAGGGTTTAGGGTTTAGCGTTTAGGGTGATCATGGCATGGAGTCATGGAGGACAGGAACAAATGAGAGCCTGCTGCCACAATCCCACGTTCCATGAATTCTTGCAATAGCAGGCATAGCAGGCTGTGAATGTGCTTGCTTTAGATACTCTTGCCTTCTCGAAGCGGGTAGCCCATAGCCACCGCCCACGGCAAGCGCAACCCTCTGAGTGCGGCTTGGGCCCGCACTGCTCCGAAGCGCAGCAGCGGAGGCCTGGACGATTGGACGAAGCGCCGAGCAAAAGAGTCTCTGGGTTTCAGGCTCCAGAATTCCAGAGCTCTTGTGCTGTTCAAGGAAAGAGTCAGAATCTGAAGTGCTGCAGGAAACCGCGCAAGACGAGGCTTATTCGCGGCTTCAAGTCGCGCCTACCCTTGCAAGCCAGGCCTCTGCTCAAGCCATGCTCGGAAGGACGTGACTTCCTCCGGGGGAGGGTCATACATCCAGAAGTTGAGCTGTGGTACCGTCGGGATTCGGGGAAGAGTCTTGCGAAGGTCGTGGCCACGGTCAGAATTGATTCTGGTACGGAGGGCTCTACTGCTGATGAGGCTCTGGCAGGCATTTTGCAAATAGAAGGTTTCGGATGCTCAGGGTTGGTGCAAAAAACCGCACACACAGCGGCTGAAGCCTTTGCTTAGCATCCGGGGCGCGTTGAGACTACTGCCGCAAGAAGTGCCTTGGATTCCCCTTGGCCAGCACCCGCCCCCTTTATCCGCTAGCGGAACCTCCCGGCGCAACACCCAGCAAGGGGACGCCTCATCTGCCAGCATCTGCAAGACCTCGGAAGCCTGACATCAGGCGGCTCAGGGTCCCGGTGACGAGTTCAAGGAACTTTGTGATTGGTGCTTGAGGCAAGCGGTTCCCAGGCTATCGAAACAGGAGTTTGCGCGGCATGCAAAACAAGACTTACACTACTGGTCGTGTGGTCGATGTCCAGACGGCTGTATGACATGACGGTAGCCCCAGGTACTGCTAAACCCTCAGCGCGAGCCCCGACCCGTGCCTTCGATCGGATGCCGGCTCCAACGTCTGTGCCTTCCTCCAAGAAGCGGAAGTCTTCCCACTGCCTCGGCTGGAGCCCAGAGCTGTCCTATTTCTCGCGCCCCTCGCGCGAATCTCCGAACGAAACGCCGGCTCTAGGCCTGCAATGACAGGGGAACCACTCCCGTCTCTCCGGGGACAAAACGAGCGACACCTTCGAACTCTATCCGTCGGCTCAGCCCTCTATCCGCTGCATCGAACAAGGGCCTGCCTTACCGATGCTCGCGATGCAAGTTCCACACTCTTGCTGAGTCGACGGTGGAGAAAACTGAGAGCGGTGCTGAATTCTCCACTGGTCTCTTCGAATCTCCTGCGGGGGAGAGAACATGACTTCTTGACATGGTGAGGAGGGGCTCGCCCAGAGGGGTTTCTGCCAGCTCCGTGATGACTCCTGACTTTCAGGTAAAACCCGAGCCTGGAATGCATTCTCACTGCCGCAAGTCAGGATGACCTGGCAAGGGGGAGGGAGTAAGCCACCCTCGTTACGCCGTCGTTATGCACGATCTGGCCACTCACAAACTTGGCCGCAGAGTGCAAAGGCACCCAAACCTTTCTCACATTTTTCAGAAGCAAAAAGCTGCCGTTATGGTGTGGATTCACATATAGAGGACGCGAATCGTAACATCAGACAATCCAACGTTACGCTGCCAATCAGAGAGAGGACGCAAATCGTAACGAGGTCGCGTTGAAAAATTGCATTAATAATGCACCTCGAGTAAGGCCAAGGTTTTGGCGATGCGCCGCCACTGTTCGTCCTTCTCCTGCTTAGCAGTTCAATGTTCAGGATTTGGGGCTTAGCATTTGGAGCAGGCGGGGGCTGAGGGTCTTTGCGCTAAGCAGCTCCTGTTCTGGCAGCGAAAAATGGACTCGGCTATCTCGGACTGCAACCACTGTTTTGCAGGATGCGAACCCGGTGTCTGAGAGTGGCAGAGGCCAGGAAACTGTGCGCTCCGAGCCCGGTGTGCGGGCAGACCGGGCGGCCCGATCGACAGGGCAGCACTGAGCAGCATGTCCTGAAGGATCTTCCAGATGAAGCTGATGACCATAGCACAGTCTTCCTCAGACAGCTGCTGGTGCTGCTGCTTGCGATTCCTTTCGCTCTTTAGCTTGCAGCAGGCTCGATGCTCGTTGCAACTTTTTCCCTTTCGCTGGCAGCCACAACAGCTGCCGACGGAACCAAGGTCTGCCTACTGAGTCTCCTGCGATGTTGTGGGTGGCCGTCGCTATGGCCTGAGCGCCAAGCCGAGAGGGATCAGACAATCAGAGTCGGTCCTTGGACCTGACATCCACATGCACAGAATCACGTGCAGAAAAACCGGAGTCAATTCGACGGATGGGTCTCTAGTCACTCCAGTCGGCATCACGTGCTGCTATAGAGCATCAGCAGATGCCTGCAACGTCGTGTTGGGCGTGCCCCACGTCTCTATCGAAGTTGCCTGACAGTGGTGAGACTGCAGCGGCAGGAGTACGGGAAAGATGCAGATTCATGCAGTGCTACCTACTGGCCGTCCAGCCCATGCATCATACTGTCTCAAACTGCTCAACAGAGCAATCTGTATCGAAAAAGGCTGGCAAGCCAGCGAAAGCGACCGCCCACAAGCCAAGACCGCATCGCACCATCCCCGGCCCTTCCTCCTTGAGCTGGGCTTCCAGGGGCGATTCTTGCTTCCTGTCAGCCCAGGCTTGAAAACAGCGTGGTTCACAGTCTTCGGACTCGAACGTTCCTTGCAGTCGCCCGGAAGCCCTGCTTGGCACTGCGCCTCATGCTTCCCAAACCCTCCAGCATCCAGCCGAACATGATCGCCACACCTTTGCAAGGACTCAGACCGCTGGGAGTTCATGCCGGTGCAACAACCCGAAACCACTGCTTGTGTTTCTTGATGCAGGTACACGAGCGAAACCCTCCAAATTTCCAGAGGCCAACGACCGCAAAGTACCGCAAACAAGCAGCACTAGCACCTGTGGGAAGCAGGGTTGGGCGACCCCAGGGAGGATTGTATGTTGGTGCTTGTATGCCTGTGTTTCTGTCTACGTTATACGTCTTGTTTGCTGCTTGTTGCATGCACAGACTTAGTTCCGGAGTGTGCAGCTGCAATGTTTTGGTCAAGTCAATACATCTCGATGTGAATGATATATGGTACCCGGCGAACTGCAACAGTTTCATCATTCGCGTCGGCTGTCTGCTTGGACGTGGACATGACGCAAAAATAGCTGCTGCCGGGAAATGTTGCTGTCGAACACGCAGCCAAACTCAATGGAAGCTCATGCGCGATGATCTCTTAGCTCCGTCGTCTGCACCTACTGACATCAGACCAAGCGCTCTTACCATGCATGCATTCATTGGCTCGCGACCACAATAAGGACGTCGGGATGACCCAAAACAAAAACAAAACAAAACGACCTATCGAGTCCGCTCTGACTTCTTGCTGTGCAACCCCTTTAGTAACTTTAGTACAGCACTCAACCACGAACAGGACACCGCAGCAGTTATGCACGATCACGATATCGTGGATTTGCGCTTGACTTCCTTATCAACCTCATTCAACAACGAATACCTTGCAATTGGCTTCCTTCGATTCAACCACATATGAAACATCGAAGTATTGCGTTTGACCTTCTTTTCAGCAAGACTCAAGCATGTGTACACACTCAAAGAGCGCTTTTGTCGGTAGCATTTTCTGAATTCAGACGTGAATCTCATTGGAGTTGGCCTCCAGGCGTGCTACACACATGCCGGAGGATGTTTGCGTTTTGGCTAGAGCCGAAGCAATCCTGTCCCTCCGTGCACAATAGGATCCTACCAGAAGAAAGCCCCATGCAAGCGCAAAGATATAAGAGATTGGCGATTGCAGTGTGTTTTTAGCAAAGAGAATCACCAGCCGCTTCTCTTGCAAATCTGACATGAAATAAGTGCACATGGAAGATCCAAAAACACGACACCAAGGACATCCTAGCAATTGCAATCATCCATTGAATGCTGTGGCTGCGAGTGGCATGCATACTAGGTGAAACCTCGCATCGCACGTGCCAAACCCAAAAATGTGCACGATCCCTCTCACATCTGATCGTCTCTTCCATTTGGCCACTTCACGTCCGGACATGAAAGCAAATGGCGAACCACCAAAGGAATGGGCTGGACGGTAGTGCTCACAGGCAGGATGGTGACCACCTCGGAAAGTTTGTCAGCCACGCAACACCACCGACCACACGATCTGCATACCAGTCTTCCGCTTCAAAAAAGCTTGGAACTCATGAGGCTAGGTTGGATCAACTTCGAGTTTGTGTGTTAACGGGAAACAGACGCACCACCAATTGCCTACCCATCGATGTCGCAAAGGTTGCCGGCGCGACCACAAACATGTGCGAGCTGCAGACTTCTCGGCACGACTGATGCAGCACCAAACCGAAGAGGGAGACTGAGCTAGCGGCTGGGCTTTGGTGCAAGCAAGTTTACTCGAATCAAACTTTCATTGTCAAACCTTCGCCACTGCTGGGGTGGCTGTGTTGATTTCAGACATTTTAAACCTGCAAAGATGACGAATCGCAAAAGCCAACAGGGTGCAGACCCACAGCAGAAACACGAAACAACCACCAACTAAGGACAGTCCCAGGTGGCTGGGCTGCAGTTTCCCAACAGATTTTTGCTTGGCACTGAAAACTTGGGTGTCCTAAACAGCCGACGCACAGACTGTCCCAAGAGTGACGATTCCAGTGGCTACTTTCGTTTGGAGTCACTTACACAAGCCTTTCACTAAGGTTCGAGTTACGACGCCTATCATACTTGAAAGCACCAAACACTCTTTTTGCCAATGTGGAATGGCCTGTGCAATGCAGCAAGAAACGCGCAGAGGCCCAAAGGCACACTGATGGATTCGGCAGAAAAGAAAAGGTCAGGAACAACGAAACATGAGGCACATTGCAAAGCTGTTGGCTGTTAAAAAACTGGACACCTCAGGAGGCCTGTCTTGTTGCCAATCTTGGCATCGCAGGGAGCTGCCATGAAAATACACCGGACTGATGTCCCGCTTTCCACTTGCATCCAATAGCTTTGTTGAGTTCAGGTTTGTCTTACACCACGCAACACCAAATGGCTACAAGCAAGGCATGGTGCGAAAGCGGTTCGTGTTCGTGTGGAACATAAAAAGAGCGACTGCGAACAGACGTTCTCTCTCTTTTTGGGCTTACCGGTGAAGCGACTGCTCAAAGCTCCGTCGTGTTCCGGAATCTTCGATCTTTCCGCTCTTTCTGGAAAGGGTGTTGTCAGCTCCTACTCTGTGATAGCCTAGAGCCTGTAGCTCAAGCGATCTTAGGGGCTCACAAGTGCTTGCAAAGAGCCTTCAAAGGGCTTTAAGGGGGCCCCCAACCAGCACTTCGCAGGCCTGCGACTCGCAAACCGGCACTCGCAGGCTTCCGAAGCTTTTTTGGCAGCGCAGTGCTTCCGAGCAGCTCGCAGGCCCGCCGAGTAGCTCGCGGCACTTTCCGAGTAGCTCGCAGGCCCACCGAGTATCTCGCGGCGCTTCCGAGTTGCTCGCAGGCCACGAATCGCTTCCTAGCCACTCGCAGGCACTCGCTCCCTGGCAGCTCACAATCGTCTCACAGGCCTGGCACTCATCTGGACTCATGTGGGACTCATGTGGACTCATGTGGAACTCATGTGGACTGTGCGGCTCATGTGGACTCATCTGCGCTTCCTGGCCAGCTCGCTTCCTGGCAGCTCACAATCGCCTCCCAAGCCTGGCACTCATCTGGACTCATGTGGGACTCATGTGGACTCATGTGGGACTCATGTGACTCATGTGGGGCTCATGTGGATCATCTGCGCTTCCTGGCAACTCCCAGCCTCTTGCGAGGTTCCAAACCAGCTCTGAAGCCAAGGTTTGCAAGCACTTTGGAGCCCCTAAGATTGTGCGCCGTGGAGCCTCGAGGCCCCAGAATCTGCAGGCCTGCGAAATGCCGAATTCTGACCCATGTCTCGAAACGAAGGCTGTAGCCAACACAGAGCAGAGGACGCAGGACTGCAGGGCAGTGCGCGGATGCTCGCCGTTCCAAAGAAAAGCACCAGAAAATCGTAATGACCACATTGGCTTCCGTTCTTAGCGCGTTCATGGCAAGTCCTACACCACGCAACTAACACATTGGCTACAGCATGCGAGCGACTTACAGCAAAGTGGAAGCAGAAGACTTGTAAGCACAAAAGCTAAAGACTACGCAAGACACTCGCACTGCACTCCTTTTGTTTCGGCTTGCCGGAAAGTGACTGCTGTCGTCTGGTGGCTGCTGGCCTTAGGCCCAAGCGGAGCCGCCACGAAGTCTAGCAGCTGCAGTCACGAAAAGCCCGTGTCGTTGAACAGAAGCAACAGCCTAAACACGCTAAGCTGAGAAGTAGAAGTATGTGACAGCGTAGCATGACGGGCTAAGCAACTGAAAGTTGAGCTATCAGAGAGGGCCAAGTGGAAAAGCCCCTCGAAAGCTCTGCCCAAGGTGTGGGTGGGCGGGAAAAAAGAAAAGCAAGCTGTGAAAGCTGTGTTGTTGCTGTGGTGTCCCGCTCGAGCAGCTGCGAAGCGGGCGACGGGACAGGACTTGACCAAAACCCTCCTGAGTAAACACAGTGACCGTTCATGGCAAGTCCTACAC